GCCTGGTGAGGTTATGCAAGGTGGCAGCCTGGGGAGGTCATGCAAGGTGGCAGCCTGGGGAGGTCATGCATGGTGGCAGCCTGGTGAGGTTATGCAAGGTGGCAGCCTGGGGAGGTCATGCATGGTGGCAGCCTGGTGAGGTTATGCAAGGTGGCAGCCTGGGGAGAGAGAGAGTGGAAACCTTCCCCTTCGGAGAGTGAAAAATATTGCAAACCAGATTGCAGGCATGGCGCACTCGGGCGAGAATGTAATATCATCATCACACCACCTGTCCTGCAAGGAAACCCCCCACTGCACAACACAAGCCAACACTGCAGCAACTTGTATTCCACAAAATTCAACACATCAATTATGCGCTGAAATACCCTCAGTGTGCGGCTACCCGCAAGGACCCACTCATCGTACGCTCAGGTACAGCATCTTCACAAGCATCAGGGGTGGTGGGAAGGGTAGGTGAAGTTTGTCAGGAAACAGGACAGGTGTTTCCTGACGCGGGTCACATGATGACCCGCAGCTGGAGCTTTTAGTCATCTGACCGAGGCCTTCCACTGGCTTGCCCCTCCACCCTTTTAAAAATTAGGGCTATGATTATAACTATCAGATAAAAGAAGGTCCGGGAAAGTGCTTGACTATGACCCGTCTAACATTTTAATCTAACACATACGGCCTACAGGTAGGCCTATGCAGGTGTCATGCTACAAAGATCAAATCAATCACCATGGTAACTGGGACTGAATTAAAATAACAATCATGGGGTCTCCAAACATAAATTTCTGGTTATGACTTTCTCCTGAGACATACTCGGGAATGGAATCACTTTTAGTCCAAGGGAAGGGCATCTCCAAGTTCTTGGCTCAAGAGTCCTTCACCAGTGTCAAGGTACCTTCCTTGAAGGGACATGGCTCAAGAGTCCTTCACCAGTGTCAAGGTACCTTCCTTGAAGGGACATGGCTCAAGAGTCCTTCACCAGTGTCAAGGTACCTTCCTTGAAGGGACATGGCTCAAGAGTCCTTCACCAGTGTCAAAGGTACCTTCCTTGAAGGGACATGGCTCAAGAGTCCTTCACCAGTGTCAAGGTACCTTCCTTGAAGGGACATGGCTCAAGAGTCCTTCACCAGTGTCAAGGTACCTTCCTTGAAGGGACATGGCTCAAGAGTCCTTCACCAGTGTCAAGGTACCTTCCTTGAAGGGACATGGCTCAAGAGTCCTTCACCAGTGTCAAGGTACCTTCTTGAAGGGACATGGCTCAAGAGTCCTTCACCAGTGTCAAGGTACCTTCCTTGAAGGGACATGGCTCAAGAGTCCTTCACCAGTGTCAAGGTACCTTCCTTGAAGGGACATGGCTCAAGAGTCCTTCACCAGTGTCAAGGTACCTTCCTTGAAGGGACATGGCTCAAGAGTCCTTCACCAGTGTCAAGGTACCTTCCTTGAAGGGACAATGTCACATTTAAAACAACCACACGGAAATCTAACCAGAAAACGGCACTTTTACAACTTATTACTACTGCTACTACTACTACTACTACTACTACTACTACTATTACTACGACCACCAGCTACAATTACTATTATTTCTACCACTACTGTCATTACTGACGAACAAAAAGTCACAATACCGTGACTAGAACAATACGACGTTTCGGTCCTACTTGAACTAGCTAATGGTCCGAGTTGGACCTAAACGTTATCATAAGTATCATTCTCCTGTGTTCTATGTGCGGGTTATTTGTGTATTTACTGCTGATACTATTTCCACTTCTGCGGAAAAATTGGCCAGTGAGCCCCTTACACAACTTCTATCTAGAGTACATGTTAAAGGTAACGATTATTATTATTATTATTATTATTATTATTATTATTATTATTTTACTGTTATTATTATTACTGTTATTATTATTACTGTTATTATTATTATTATTATTATTATTATTATTATTATTACTGCTATTATTATTATTGATATTCGTAGTAGTATAGTTATTGTTATAATTATTACGTTCATAGGGAAGTCCTAAACACGTAGGGGTTCTCCAGTGTCTGGGGAATGGGCGGTAATTAGGTTCAATCGAAGGAGTGGGTAGCTCCACTTCCTTGGATCTGCTACCCTACACTGTAAAGTTGTAAACTGTCATTGAGGAGCTGACCTTTATGTCAGAGATAACATCAGAATACATACACCCGTACATGTTGGGATAATGTTCTTTGGCAGATGTATATCTATGTAAACATTGAGTATATATACGAAGAACCTCTGACAGGACCAAGATAACATTAGTGGTGTTATCGTTCATATATTAGCACACACGTTCACCGTGGTGTTATCGTTCATATATTAGCACACACGTTCACCGTGGTGTTATCGTTCATATATTAGCACACGTTCACCGCGCGTTCAATTATCACGTTCACGTGACAATGATATCCACGTGAAAACACTCACCTGGTCATGGACCGGGCCGCGGGGGCGCTGACCCCCGGAACACCCTCCAGGTATACTCCAGGTATCATGTCTATGTAAAACACTCACACACACATCATGTCCTGCTAAAAACACTGAACTCTCTCTCTCTCTCATTGTCTCTCACTCACCCACCTGCCTCTTATGGTTTTATCTTGTTAGCACCGTTTATCTAACTTTCGCTTTCATTCACGTCAGCAACTTTTACGATTTCTCTGTTACATGTCAGCTGCCAGCCTTTGTAAATACACTAAAGGATTAAGGCATTGCAGTTAAGCAGTGTGTCTGTCATGCAACAATGAGAGAATGAAAACTCTGCTTCCGTACCACTACACTACTGTCAGTGGTCCTAACCTGTTACTCCATCTATCATCTTCTCTTTGCTGTTTACATATCCTGTATACACACCTTCAGTGTATATATAAGATATATACACAGTGTAAGCGTGTACATATCACCAAGGTACTTTAGGTGGACCAAACCATCATGTAACCATAACAGTACATGAATGGTATGCAAGACCGATAAGATGAAGAATTAAGACATAAGCAACATCTGGGTATCTTTATTTGTAGACGTTTCGCCCTCCAGTGATTTTATCAATACAAGGACACAATGTGAAGACTGCAGAACTATATACAAAAGATTTAGTAATGAGTCCCTCAGTCTTGGAGTTGGTGAAGATCACCGTAGTCTTGAAGAATCTGCAGATTCTTCAAGACATTTTCATCACACCAGCGTTGTGTAACGAGGAAAAACTCCTTAGTCGCGAGATATAAAGATGATCGAGTTTACACCGTCATTGTTAGATGTCAGAACCGAAGGAAAATGGAGTTTGGAGAGTGGTGTTGGAGCCAAGGTCGTGAGGTACCAGAGTGGCAAATTACGTTCAGAGAAGGACTTTACAGGTCGTCTCCCGTTCACTAACACACAACCATGACACGCACATCTCTTTGACGCCGTACTCAGCCTACTCAACGCGTGACACCAATACCAAAGCACACACTAGTTCTCTGACGGCATTACCAGCGCACACCCAACCATCCCTTTGTTATGGTGACCTCCTCCAATCCTCCATAAAAGACCCATCCCAGGAGTGGCAGCCGTGCCACCACCCCCACCACTTCAACCACCTCCACCACAACCACCACCCCCACCATACCACCATCACCAACACCACCAAAAGCAACAGCAGAACCCTGGAAGAGAGAGAGAGAGGAGAGAGAGAGAGAGAGAGAGAGAGAGAGAGAGAGAGAGAGAGAGAGAGAGAGAGAGAGAGAGAGAGAGAGAGAGAGAGAGAAGAGAGAAAGAGAGAAAGAGAGAGAAAGAGAAAGAGAGAAAAGAGAGAGAGAGAGAGAAGAGAGAGGGAAAAAGAGAGGAGAGAGGAGAGAGAGAGAGAGGAGAGAGAGAGAGAGAGAGAGAGAGAGAGAGAGAGAGAGAGAGAGAGAGAGAGAGAGAGAGAGAGAGAGAGAGACTGACTTAGTAAAAGGCTGAAAAACAGAAGCTACAAACACCAACAAAGTTGACCCCTCCTGTGACTGCGCGAGGAAAGACTGGGGAGACATGATCAAGACATAAAAGATACTGAAGAGTAGGGCAAAGTAAACGAAGACAGTTGGACAAGCAGAAAGTATTATTATATTCGTATAACGCCTGAGAAATGGGAGGTAATCAAGTTTGATCCAAGGAATGGGAAGGTAGATCCAATACCCTGGATCAAGAGCCCTTCCCCGACCTCAAGTCAACCCACCCTAGGAAAATAACAAGGAAGAAATTAAAACAAGAAAGCATCGATGGCAGCTGAACATTCAGTTGAGACAAGGAAATGTTAGGATTAACACCAACAGACTGGATGATCAGGTCATCCACCTGAAGACCTGACTGATTACAGCATCCACGCGAAGACCTGATGTGGGACCGGGTCGTGGGGGCCCTGGAAACAGTCTCCAGATGGAACAGAAGTTATGGTATGATAGAGTACTGGTATGATAAGGCAAACTCAAGGTGTGTACATTCAACTACATCAATCACTTGAAGGGTAAGAGGTGGGGTCAGGAGCTGGAGCCTCTCCCCTTCAAGCGCACACTAATGCGCTTCTGATTCGGGCTGAAATATACATGTCTTTCATATTTCTGTTCAAGTGGGTTCTCACTTTTCATGCAATCTAAATAAATACACACACATACACACACACAATGTGTTAGGCTGGTAAATGTAAGAGTGGCCTTCAGAAATCCAAAAGATTCTTTCAAGTCACTCTTCATCACATGTGTGACCAATCCTTGAGTACACAGCGCCAGTTTGAAACCCTCATGTTGCCAAACACAAAGTGAAACTGGAGAAAGTTCAAAGGTATGTATCCAGATGGTGAAGCAGGCGGGACTGAGCTGCGACAAAGGCCGACACAGCTCTTGTTCCTGGAGGAGGTAGGGGAAAAAAACTTATATGATCGCTAAATACATAATACTCCGGGGCAAAGACAGTATCAGTAGTATCAGTTATCAGTAATATCAGTAGTACTGTGCCTCATACTAGTAACCGTTAGTATCAGTTATTAGTAGTGTGGGTAATACTGTGCCTTGACAGTATGTATGTTATCAGTCCTTTTCAAGGTGAGTGCTAACCTTCTCTCCTTTCGTACAACACACATACTGTCAAGGCACAGTACTACTGATAACTGACACTACTGATAACAGTGACACAATTTTTACCAACGAATAATCCGTAATAAGAGGACAGGAATGAAAACCTGGGCAACTAGACAAGTCACAGAAGCACCAGGAAAACACACACGGTCCAGAAGAGAGAAGCTAAAAGAAGTTAATTAAATTAAAAGGGATCCAACATACATCTCATATGCAAGACCCAGGGTAGAAATCACATCTAGTACACAAATAACCCGCACACAGAAGCTTATGACGACGTTTCGGTCCGACTTGGACGAAAGGAGAGGTCACACTAAAGACGAAGGTGAGGGAACCGACACATCTAGTATCGGATCCTTGCTCACACGGGATGGAACGTATACAGACGACTCCCAGAAGCGTGCTATCTCTCAGCGGCTATATTCTGAGAGCTCAGTCCTTACCTTAATTAATAACTAAGTACCCTTGATGTAAGTTCCTTACTTTAGTAACTAAGTACCCTTGATGTAAGTTCCTTACTTTAGTAACTAAATACCCTTGATGTAAGTTCCTTACCTTAGTAACTAAGTAGCCTTGATGTAAGTTATTATAATTATCACGACTCACGAAATCATAATAAAACGACTATAAACAAACCCCCACCCATTTCGTGGTTTATTATTAATATCAGTATGAGTGAGCGCCGTAAGAGGATCAATACAGTGCCTGAGGAATAGGAGATAATCAAGTCTGATTCAATACCTTGAATCTGAAACCCTTCACCAGCATCAAGACACCCCATGAATAATTCCTTGATATTAGTGTCTAGGAGCATTGCTGCCTTAATGAGCCTCGAGTGGCGGATGAACCCAAAACACACGCTCTTCTTCAATGCAATTGCTGTCAAAAAATAAATGAATCAGACAAGATAAACTAGACGCTGACTTCAAGCGTAATTTACATCAGTGAAGAGACAGGCTCAAGGATTTAAGTTCATCCCATGTAGAGTTCACTACAGAACAGACCCATTCTCCTCACAAGAGCTCACTCCACTACAGAACTGACCAACTCTCCTCACAAGAGTTCGCTCCACTACAGAACTGACCAACTCTCCTCACAAGAGTTCGCTCCACTACAGAACTGACCAACTCTCCTCACAAGAGTTCGCTCCACTACAGAACTGACCAACTCTCCTCACGAGAATTCACTCCACTACAGAACTGACCAACTCTCCTCACGAGAATTCACTCCACTACAGAACTGACCAACTCTCCTCACAAGAGTTCACTCCACTACAGAACTGACCAATTCTCCTCACAAGAGTTCACTCCACTACAGAACTGACCAACTCTCCTCACGAGAATTCACTCCACTACAGAACTGACCAACTCTCCTCACGAGAATTCACTCCACTACAGAACTGACCAACTCTCCTCACAAGAGTTCACTCCACTACAGAACTGACCAATTCTCCTCACAAGAGTTCACTCCACTACAGAACTGACCAACTCTCCTCACAAGAGTTCACTCCACTACAGAACTGACCAACTCTCCTCACAAGAGTTCACTCCACTACAGAACTGACCAACTCTCCTCACAAGAGTTCACTCCACTACAGAACTGACCAACTCTCCTCACAAGAGTTCACTCCACTACAGAAATGACCAACTCTCCTCACAAGAGTTCACTCCACTACAGAACTGACCAACTCTCCTCACAAGAGTTCACTCCACTACAGAACTGACCAACTCTCCTCACGAGAGTTCACTCCACTACAGAACTGACCAACTCTCCTCACAAGAGTTCACCCCCTCTAGAGTTCACTCCAATGCAGAACAGACCCACTCTCCTCGCAAAAGTTCACCCCCTGACAAGAGTACACCTGGCCCCTTTAGAGCACACCCCTCGGTATATTTCGCATTCCCCCCCTCCACTAAAGTGTATCACCCTCTCCAGATGGCATTCGCCCCTGCCACTAGATATCCTTCCCCATCACTGCAAACGCAAACTGGTATTAACACAAAGAGAGAGAGACACAAACACAAGCTTCGCACATGGGCGCCCTCATAATTCTCGCAGCCTTCAGAGATAAGACAAGTGAAACATTAAATACAGCTAACAATCTAATTGACACCGTGGTAATCTCTTCAACAATGTTGGCTGGTCAGCTCTTATTATCTAGATCTGATAAAGTACTTGTAGCTTTCACCACCCGACTCACCAGAAGCAGACAAAAACCTTGGGGACAAGTCACACTTGTTACACTTCTATGTCAAGTGCTTAATGTATTACTGAATATGTCATCTCTTGATGCTTCTTGAAGATGTCATCTCTTGATGCTTCTTGAAGATGTCATCTCTTGATGCTTCTTGAAGATGTCATCTCTTGATGCTTCTTGAAGATGTCATCTCTTGATGCTTCTTGAAGATGTCATCTCTTGATGCTTCTTGAAGATGTCATCTCTTGATGCTTCTTGAAGATGTCATCTCTTGATGCTTCTTGAAGATGTTATCTCTTGATGCTTCTTGAAGATGTTATCTCTTGATGCTTCTTGAAGATGTCATCTCTTGATGCTTCTTGAAGATGTCATCTCTTGATGCTTCTTGAAGAAGTCATCTCTTAGTGCCTGCTGACGATGTCATCTCTTGCTATTTACTGAAGATGTCAGCTGTTGGTCTTTGCTGACGAGGCTACCTAAAGATACTTCCTGGAGATAAGGTCTTGATATTTGGAGTAGCGTCGGTGTTTGCTGGGAGACAACACCTGCCAATGTTTATCACACACAGATATATAGGAAAATCTGCTAGTGATACAACCTGACCAGGTGTTGCAATAATTGTTGCAAATGTGGGAGTGGCTGTCAGAAGTTTCAGTGTGGCTTATCTTCCAGTGGTTGTTGCACATAATGAAGTGGCTGCTGATGGTGTTCTAGCCGTTGGTTGAGCTATAGTGGCTGTTGCAGATGGTGAAGCGTCTGTTGGAAGTGTAGTGGCTTTCAGAGACAATGAAGCTGTTTGAGATATTAGGCTAGATTCACTAATATTATATACACCTTAAACATTCAATACAAGCATAAGACCCATAATTTAACAGGAATATGTAAGCTCGAAAAAAGATTCACACACAAAAAAAATGCAAGGTGCCTTTGACAAATGGCAACAAACACACACACACACACACACACACACACACACACACACACACACACACACACACACACACACACACACACACACAAAGAGTAAACATAAGTCTGAGCTCAAAGAACTAAATTTACTAACCATCAACCCCGACACCCTGACCAACCAACGCCAGATGTAATATAATATCCAGCTGGACACTTATTACCCAAAGGAAGGTCGGAGACTGACCGTCTCCCTGCCTGCTTGAATGTCTGCCTGCCAGCATCCCTGTCTCCTTCCTCTGCCTACCTGCCTGAATATATCCTTAACTGCCTGCCTGCCTGTTTGCTTGCTTGCTTGAATGCTCGCTTGAATACATCCTTATCTACTTGCCTACCTGTCTGCTTGTCTGCATAACTGTCTGCCTTCCTGGTAATCTGTCTGCCTGCTTCCTTCAATTTTTTGCATCCATTTCTGCTTGCATAATTCTCTGCTTGCCTCTCTGCTTGTCTGAATGCCTGTCTGCCTTGTCTCTCTGCTTTCGTCACTGCTTGTCTGCTTTCCTATAATATTTTTTTTTATATTCACGTAGAAAAGCCAAACCCGTGGAAGGGGAGAGGGAGATAATCAGGTTAGATCCAAGGAGGTGGAGTGGCGCTCCAATTTCTTTACCAAACATTCCTTCACCTGAATCGAGGTGCTTTCCTTAGACACCTGGAGGCCACTAACCCACAAACACCTGTTAGTTCAGGCGTTCTGGAGGCCACTAACCCACCAACACCTGTTAGTTCAGGCGTGCTGGAGGCCACTAACCCACCAACACCTGTTAGTTCAGGCGTGCTGGAGGCCACTAACCCACCAACACCTGTTAGTTCAGGCGTGCTGGAGGCCACTAACCCACCAACACCTGTTAGTTCAGGCGTGCTGGAGGCCACTAACCCACCAACACCTGTTAGTTCACGTGTCCTGGAGGCCACTAACCCACCAACACCTGTTGGTTCACGTGTCCTGGAGGCCACTAACCCACCAACACCTGTTGGTTCACGTGTCCTGGAGGCCACTAACCCACCAACACCTGTTGGTTCACGTGTCCTGGAGGCCACTAACCCACCAACACCTGTTGGTTCACGTGTCCTGGAGGCCACTAACCCACCAACACCTGTTGGTTCACGTGTCCTGGAGGCCACTAACCCACCAACACCTGTTGGTTCACGTGTCCTGGAGGCCACTACCACAACACTTGTCACTGTCCTGGAGGCCACTAACCAACACCTGTTGGTTCACGTGTCCTGGAGGCCACTAACCCACCAACACCTGTTGGTTCACGTGTCCTGGAGGCCACTAACCCACCAACACCTGTTGGTTCACGTGTCCTGGAGGCCACTAACCCACCAACACCTGTTGGTTCACGTGTCCTGGAGGCCACTAACCCACCAACACCTGTTGGTTCACGTGTCCTGGAGGCCACTAACCCACCAACACCTGTTGGTTCACGTGTCCTGGAGGCCACTAACCTACCAACACCTGTTGGTTCACGTGTCCTGGAGGCCACTAACCCACCAACACCTGTTGGTTCACGTGTCCTGGAGGCCACTAACCCACCAACACCTGTTGGTTCACGTGTCCTGGAGGCCACTAACCCACCAACACCTGTTGGTTCACGTGTCCTGGAGGCCACTAACCCACCAACACCTGTTGGTTCACGTGTCCTGGAGGCCACTAACCCACCAACACCTGTTGGTTCACGTGTCCTGGAGGCCACTAACCCACCAACACCTGTTGGTTCACGTGTCCTGGAGGCCACTAAACCCACCAACACCTGTTGGTTCACGTGTCCTGGAGGCCACTAACCCACCAACACCTGTTGGTTCACGTGTCCTGGAGGCCACTAACCCACCAA